TTAGTGAAGGGAGTAGTGTGAGAAGAGTAACATTGCTTTCTTTCTAAAGAAATTCAAACCTTTCAAATCTAAAACTAGAAAGCTAGAGAAATTTAATAAGGGGTGAGATTTAATTTCAGTGCTTACACGCATATAAAGAGTATAATACAGTTCGTATAATTCCCCCACTGAGCCTTACAGGGAGAAGACCTAGGATGAAACACATAAAATTCCTTTTCAGAAAACCCTGTTTGGGGAGTGGGAGGTGGGAAAAAAAAAAACCCAAAAACCTGTTTCTCTAAGTCCCACGATAACACAATTCTGTGAAGGAGAAGCTTTATCCTCTTATGTTTTCAAATTCTGTTTCTAATCAAGGGACAAGCCCAGAAGCTAGCTAGGGAGAAAGTAGAGTCTGATTTTATTTTTCTCAGCTACACTTCTGATTACAGGGGTGCTGTAAATAATAGAACAAAACCTCGGGCTTGAGCACATCAAGCCCATTGTACATAAAATTCTACTTCTTTCTACCACACCATTTTTACTGTTCTCCTTTTCTTCATTTTTTTATCCAGCCTCAGTAAGAAGGAAATCTTGTTCTCTCCAAGGCCTACCCAGGCTCCCCCGTCCTGAGTCCCATTCCCTTCTTATTTTGCCAGTCTCCTCTCCTTCCACTTTATATTTTCAATCTCTCTTCTCCTTGGGCTATAAAACATACTGAAGTTTCCCTTGTCCCTGTTGCTGTTGTAGCTTCCTTATTCAGCTCTGTCTTTTCCTCCCTTCCTCTTCGAGGCCTTCCTCTTCTAGGCCCTGAAAATGTCTATTTTCAGGTCTCGCTCGCTTCCCCTTCTGCAAGCTGGCTTCAGCCCTTGCCCTCTCTACTGAAACTGCTTTCTTATAGCTGACCTTGTGAGTAACAAATTAAAAATCTGTTTTAGCTCTCATCGGCCTGAATTGTTCTGCAGCATTTAATTTTGTTAACCACTTCCTCTTCCCTTGTCTAATTCTACTCATTTTTCCTTCCCATTCTGATCCCTGACTTAGGTGCTTTCCATGGATGTATCTGGGTTTTTTTTTGCCTTTACACCAGGGATCATCAAACTGGGTTACACCTAAGAACAACCTGAGGAATTTTTAAAACTCTCAATGGCCAGGCAGACTCTAATTAAATCAGAATCTCTAGGGGTAGGGCCCAGGCATAAGTTTTTAGCATTTTAAAGCGTTCCTGATAATTAACCCAAAGTCTAGTGAATCCCATGTCTTTAATAACCCATGGGCATAGGGTTTAAGAGAGCACCAAAGCTCTCAGTTGAGTGTTTGCTAGAAAGTTCTGTCATGTTGTCCCTTAAGCACTTCAAAATTATTATTTATGAAATTGAAGTTATTTGCCCCAGGCCCCACCCAAATTTCTTTTTTCTGTTTTTTTCATTCTGTCACTGTTCTCCCAGGCACTATTCCAGGTCCAGCTTTTTCGGCTGCTATCACTGGCTCTGCTCTTTAGTCTGCTAGCAGCTGGTGGCAATGCTGTCCAGGTCCTCTTGTTTAAAATCTCTTCAGGACTTCACCTTATATCCTACTACTTTTCTTCACTTAATCAGGGTTCCAGGCAAACTAAGCTTCTTGCTCTTTACTATTTATCACCTAAAATATCAAATTCTGAAATATTACCTTTTTTTTTTTTTTTTTTGAGACAGAGCCTCAAGCTGTCCCCCTGGGCAGAGTGCCGAGGCATCACAGCTCACAGCAACCTCCAACTCTTGGGTTCAAGCAAGTCTCCTGCCTCAGCCTCCCAAGTAGCTGGGACCACAGGCGCCCCCCACAATGCCTGGCTATTTTTTGGTTGTAGCCGTCATTGTTGTTTGGTGGGCCAGGCTGGATTTGAACCTGCCACCTTAGGTGTATATGGCCAGCGCCTTAGCCACTTGAGCCACAGGCACTGAATCATGTTACGCTTTTTTAAAGACTTGATTCAGATTTTACTTCTGTAAAACCTGATGCTACATTCTTCCAAGCTAAAAGTATTTCTTCCTGTTGAGCTTCCATGATACTGTACATTCTTTTTATGTTCTCTGCAGTGTGTTGGATATGGTCTGATAATAATCTAAGAAAACAGTTTTTTTTTCTTTCTTTTTTTTTTTTTTTAGACGGAGCCTCAAGCTATCCCCCTGGGTAGAGTGCCATGGCATCACAGCTCACAGCAACCTCCAACTCCTGGGCTCAAGCGAGTCTCCTGCCTCAGCCTCCCAAGTAGCTGGGACTACAGGCGCCCGCCACAACGCCCGGCCATTTTTTGGTTGCAGCCATCATCGTTGTTTGGCGGCCTGGGCTGGGGATTTGAACCCGCCACCTTAGGTGTATGTGGCTGGCGCCTTAGCCGCTTGAGCCACTGGCGCCGAGCCAGAAAACAGTTTTTGCAAAAGGAAACCAGTAGTAAAAATTTCTATCAGAAATGTGGGAGTTGCCATAACATTTGCTTACACTTGAAAGAAGCCAGTGCTTAGACTGGGACTGGCAAAATCATCCTGATTTAAAATATTCATGTTTTAATAGGATATCTTGTCTCTGGTGATCCTTTAGATTTGATTCGAACTATCCGGGACCCAGAAAAGCCCAATACTCTAGAAGAACTGGAAGTGGTAACGGAAAGTTGTGTGGAAGTTCAGGAGATAAATGAAGAAGACTATCTGGTTATTATCAAGTTTACGCCAACAGTACCTCATTGCTCTTTGGCGACTCTTATTGGTAAGTTTTTATATATACACATGCTTGTAAATCCTAAATCATTCTTATTAGCTATGATGGATATGAGGGGTTAATAGAGTTGGTAGAAACTGGGCAGATGGAAACAGAGTGGGAGGGAGACTTTTCATATCATGGGAACATATGATCTATTGAAAAAGCAAACAAAGGCCAGGCATGGTGGCTCCTGCCTGTAACCCTAGCACTCTGGGAGACCAAGGTGGGTGGATTGCCTGAGCTCACAGGATCAAGACCAGCCTGAGCCAGAGCAAGATGCTGCCTCTAAAAATAGCCAGGTATTGTGGTGGGCCCCTGTAGTCCCAGCTACTTGGGAGGCTGAGGCAGGAGAATCACTTAAGCCCAAGAGTTTGAGGTTGCCGTGAGCTAAGACACCATGGCACTCTCCCAAGGGTGACAAAGTAGAACTCTGTCTCACAAAGATAAAAAATAAATAAAATTCCATTTCTAGGGACAGCTTTATTTGAATGCATAGTGATTATTTGTCATTGGACAATTTCTGAACCAACAGTCATTGAATGAACTGCCACTATGTTACTGAAAGTTTGGTACTTGTTCTTGAGGCTGAAACAAAAACAAGAACAGGTGGTTTTTGAAAACAAGGAAAGGAAATGTTTCACTTTGCAGGCAAAGGAAGAAAAATGACAGGCTGTTTATCTTCAAAATATGGATTTTTCTTGCACATAAGCAGAAATCTAGAGTTTTTTTTTTTTTTTTTTGAGACAGAGTCTCACTTTGCTGCCCTCAGTAAAGTGCTGTGGTGTCACAGCTCACAGCAACCTCAAACTCTTGGGCTTAAAGCTATTCTCTTGCCTCAGCCTCTCAAGCATCTGGGACTAAGGTGCTCGCCACAATGCCAGGCTATATTTTTTAGAGATGAGGTCTGCCTCTGCCTCTGGCTTAGGCTGATTTTGAACTCATGAGCTCAGGCATTCCACCTCCTTGGGCCTCCCAGAGTGCTAGGAAAACCTAAAGCTTTTAAAATATCCTATTGTCATTTAACTATAGTTAATATCTCATCTCTGCCAAGAGAAAACTGTGCCGTGACCACCTGGGAGACCTACCTGCAGCTTGCACCTTGCCCCTCAGCCAGGTGCCAGCCGCCTAGGCCCATCTTCTGTAGTGCAAAGAACAGAAAACACTTCCTTGCCCCTCACACCCCTAGTCAGGGATGCAGGTTTTAGTTTTTGAAAAGAGTGGGAGAAGTTTTAAAGAGACAGAAAACATCAGGTGATTTCCTATGTTACTACTATACTGATATGGGGGGCGTGTCTGAAAATATTTGGACATCTAAGAAGAGTTCTTAAATAAAGATTCCAAGGGCCTATAGAAATTTTTATTTAAATTGTAAAAGTAATATGTTTTTGGCAATAATTTTGAAATTCTATGAAAGCATAAAGAAAAAAATAAAAATCAGTTGTCATAAAAAAATGTATGCTCCAGGCTGAAATCCCAGCTCTGTCAGCTCTGCCATTTGGCTTGGGTAAGTTATTTAAACTTCCTGAGCCTTAGTTTCCTTATCTGTAAAATGGGAATAATGAAAGTATCTACAGATCAGAGTTGTAAGGGTTAGGGAATAGTATGAAAGATATGAAGGTTTTTTAAATTTCTCATTAAATATTCTTTAACTATATAGTTACATAGGTTATGTGCTAAACATTGCTATATCATAATTTTTATAACCGTTTAGACTGTTTATAGCCTTTGCAATTATGAATAATATTGTAATGAATGACTTTATACATAAATAGAGTAGAACTTCTATAAGTTTACCACCCAAAGTACTGTAACAAACTGGTCAGCATACAGAGGTGGTCAACATAAGGAACTAAGCCTACACCACTAATATGTACATGTGGTGCATGTTTGGTCTAGGAAAATTAGGACAACTTAAGGAGGTGGTCAATGTAGGGAAGTGGTGGCGATGGAGATTCTACTATAATTTAATGTATCTTGTTATTGCCTCAGTTTAAATTCCTATAAGTGAAATTCTTAGGTCTGGTGGTATAAATATTTTCTTTTTTTCTTTTTTTTTTTTTTTTGCACCATTTTAATTTTTATTCATAAAATATAAACCTAAACTCAAAACAACTGCTTTGTTCTTGCGTCTAATCTGACCATATTTTGAAGACGTCCTCTTTATGAGAGGACTTAGGTGAAAACTGTCAATATACTGCCATTGAAAACTGTAGATTGAATTACCTAAGGTTAGGTAAGTAATATTTTGAAATGAGCAAATTAAATATTAGGAAGCAACAGAAATCTCACCCTCAAACAAAAGGGGACTCCCTTTAATCTTCAATTAAACCTAATTTGCAATCAGAACAAAAGTCATCATGATCAATCATGCTGCACAGCTGCTAAAGGAAAATATTGAGGGAACTCATGGATAATTTTCACGGCTTCATTGTAAAGTCCAAGATCAAAAGGAGAGACATCTTCTTTAAAGTGGATATAAGATGAACACATAATGGTTGCCTTGGCTGTTACTCTTCCAACCACTTCCACAATTCCAGAGATTTCTTCATCAAGGGGCTCCATCAACTCAATGGTTCCATTTTTCCCTTCTCCATCTGAAAGAATGAACATTTTTCCAGAGGGATGAATCTTTTCTAGCCTCCCTAAGAAGCAGACTGGCTGGTCGATGAACTCAGCGAGCATGCTGGCGTTGATTCGCGACTTGGGCAAATCCGTTAAGTCCGCCATGATCGCGGCAGCAAAACCTATGCAGGCGGGAAACAGACGCAGGCGGTATAAATATTTTCAAGCCTCTTGGTATATGTTGGCAAATCCTTATTAAAAAGTTTATACTCTTGTTGTTGTTGTTTTGAGACAGAGTCTCATTCTGTCACTATGGGTAGAGTGCCCTGGTGTCATCGTAGCTCACAGCAACCTCAAACTCTTGGTCTCAAGTGATTGTTTTGCCTCAGCCTCTCAGGTAGGTGGGACTACAGGTACCGCCCACAATGCCTGGCTAGTTTTTCTATTTTTTTTTCTTTTTTGAGACAGAGCTTCAAGCTGTTGCCCTGGGTAGAGTGCTGTGGCATCACAGCTCACAGCAACCTTCAACTCTTGGGCTTAAGCGATTCTCTTGCCTCAGCCTCCCAAGTAGCTGGGACTACAGGCGCCCACCACAACACCCAGCTATATTTTGGTTGTAGTTGTCATTGTTGTTTGGTGGGCCCGGGCTGGATTCAAACCCGCCAGCTCTGGTGTATATGGCTGGCGCCTTAGCCACTTGAGCTATAGGCGCTGAGCCA